ACTTGCAAGTAACTTAAACAATTTACCACACATCGATACTGGACATTGCTGAAATGAAAGTTCAAGGGGGCTACCAAAATAGACACCATTAAAAACAAGCAAACAAACAAAGTTTGAACTTGTGTTTGTGTGCCAATTGAATTCTGGTCATGTTATCCTGCAACCAAACGTAGAAAATTGATAATATATTGTATATTTATTTTACTATAAAATATGGAGTTGAGGGCAAAGAGTCCTTATTACATGGGACAGTTGTTGTCCACGCCATTTTTTAAACAGAAACCTTGATAATACTAAATACATAAGACAATCACGAATAAACAATAAAATTAATATAGACTAATATTTAGACACAACATGAAAGAGAGGGAGGGAAACAAATAAACAAACAGACACAACAAAAATGTCATAAAAATATCTAGAATATTAAGCGTAAACACGAAATGATGGAAACAAATCGTTTCCTTAGTGGCTTTATGACAACACCAACCAACCAGCCAGCCAGCCATTCACACAAACAAGCAAACAAAACGGCCATAACAAAAATGGCTAAAAAACCATTATCTGAAGTGTTCATGTAAATGTGATAAAAATATTTATACATTTCCCAAAAAAACAATAAAAAGAGACAAATATTTATTCTCGCTCTGTCATCGTCAACTTTTCAAAACTCACACTCAAACAAACGAAAAAAATAAGAAAAGTCAATAAACAAAATTGTTTGTTGGCTTTTCCTCAACCTACGGAAAATGTGCAAAAAAATTGCAAAATTTTTAATATTTACAAATTATGATGGTTTCGTTAAAACAAACAAAAACAAATAGCTCGGTGGTTTTTAAACATCGTCCCCCTTTTTTATATAACTTTTTTTTTTTGTTCGCATCGTAACAGTTTTGATTTTATTTTGTTGACGTATGTTTGTATATAAGAACCAGTGATAATTTACAATAAATCTGTTGTGGTGGGAGCGGGTGACTTTGTTGACAATAACCCGAAAATGTATGATTTCATGTGATGGAGTTAAATGGATTTTATTTCTGATGAAAATGAATGCGTGATGTGATTTATACAAACAAATCGCAAATATTTGTAAACATTTCGAAAATGGCACTGTGAAATAATAACGAATAGAGATTTAAGAAAAAGTTGTCATGTGTGGGTGTAAATAAATTTTAAATGGATAAGTAAAAAGGATGTTCGGTCGGGCCGACCTTTTAAAACAATTTATAACGAGGACGGCATTCAAACTAATTAATAGCAATAATTTGTGGGGTGTTATCACATTAGAGCCAACCAGAGATAGTCCGTGTGAAGAATTTTTAGGTTTTCGACTGTCAAAAAGGTGTAAACGTTACAGTTATCATATACAGTTATTTCCAAGAATATATATTATTCTTACATATACCTGACTATTCCTTACTAGAACTGATTAAAAAATTCTTAAATTTTTGGACAAGAGAAGATTTTCTACACAATGAGAATCCAAATACAAAATTTAGTTTAAAGCTTTATAGCAAAAAGTGGGCCGATATAAGCAATTTTAAATATCAAACATGCTATGAGTAGCTAGAATGTATGTACAAAACCAGTAAGGAAAGAAGTAAAGTCGGACTGGGCCGACTATGTGATACTCTTCACCACTTTGGGTATAGTTTACATATGTATCATAACAGACGACGCGTTTTGTTATAAATCTATATCTGAACCGATTTCAGGGAAACTTGCCAGAGACTAATTTATATAACATCAGTACGTTGTGTCAATCGGCCTAGCTATGTATCTTTTCACGAAACTTAGCACACATCATTCTGGACCCAATTCAGTACCCTATGCCAAATTTCGTGCAAATCGAAAGATATATAGTTTTTATGTCGATATCCTTACCTTAGAGAAAAATGATTAAAATATATATGGGAGTTATATATAAATCTGACCCGATTTTCTCGAAACTTGGCATACGTCATTCTTGAACTAATTCAGTACATAATGCCAAATGTCGTACACATCGAAAGATATATGGGGACTTTGGTGCTCCATTTACCTTAAATCGGACGAAAATATATATGGGAGCTATATCATAAGGAGGACATTCAAAATAATTAAAAGAAATAATTTGTGGTGGGGTATCAATTTAGAGCCAACACGGTTAAAAATATATCTGATATCCGCAAATATTAAAAAAAAGTGTGCCCATATTTAAACAATCTTACTCCGATATCTATCGTGATTATGCCGAAAAGTGTGCCCATATTTAAACAATCTTACTCCGATATCTATCGTGATTATGCCGAAAAGCCGACAGGCCAACATGGCTAAATCCATCCGAAATAATAAATATCATCTGAAATAGTGAATCTACAAAAAATGCTGGATTCTAAGTTTAAGATCATCAGATACAATAATTTAATCATTAACACTAGAAAGACTGGAATTTTGTATATACCTATATTGCCGAAAAGCGGTCAAAATGACCTCATTCTGAAAGAATTTTTATTATGTAAAGAAAATTTTTTAAACTTATTTTTTAATAATTTTTACATTATTTACAATCATATAAAAAGTTGTTATTATTTGTTTGCGGTGGGAGGGCTCACGAGATTCTCTTTTAGAAAAATAAGAACGCGAGTCAAAATGTTCGAAAAAGTGTAAGTGTTTACTCTAATAGTGAAATCGACTGGAAATATAAAATTGATTTTTGCCTATTTGTGTGTTCGTTTGTGTGTCTAGAGTAACAAACGTGTTTTCGTGTTGTTGTACTGATCTGGTCATATAAGAAATTTTCTTTATTCAATAATAAAAGTAATTTGGTTATTTAAAATTTCCCAAGAGGTCAAAATGACCGCTTTTAGGCAATATTAATACGGGAAATGAAAGAGGGGAGGGAGCACCAACAATGATTAATAAACGTAGTTCTATGTGGTACAAAAAGTCACAAAATTTTAAAAAGCTGTATCATAATATACCCAATTGTTTTTGTACTTGAAATTAAAAAACGGTCAAAATGATCGCCTTCGGCAATCTAGTGTTAAGGACGAAAGAATATTTAACGTCATTGGTGGAAGAATTACAAATATGACCCGTTAATGAATACCACGTTCCTGTACGAACATGGGATCGATTTATTTTGTTCTACTTTAGAAAATTTGGCATCTAATCCACTTCCGAACATTTTTATTACTCCGACATTTCTATTAGAATGTTTGACTTTTTCTTTATCATAAATGTACTCAGTACTTTGCTGTTTTGTTTAGTGGAAATGGAATAAAATCGATAGGGAGGGTCAGTTAACTATTAAGCACACAATTACTTCCATGTGATTGGTAATGCTTTATAACGCCTATAACCTTAATCGGTTGACTAAATGATGGATTGGATAAAAGTAGATAAAAAGATTATGAAAACATGCGTATATCGATTTCTTGTCTTTGAGGACCCTATCTAAAATCTTATAAATGAGCTGCTCAGTGCACACATCGATTAACTCTCTAAAACAAAAAGTTGAGAAAAGCGATGACTTCAACCTCATAATGTAGAAAGCATAACGGCGATAATCTTGATTATTCAGGAAAGATTTTTAAATATATTTTTAGTATAATTTTAAGTATAATTTTTAAAATAGTAGACTTAATCAATGTGTGCTTTGAACGCCTCAAACGACAGTTTATTAGAATATTTAGAGGTTAACAAATCTTTAGATTACGATTCTAGAAAATAAGGATTAAAAAGGCTCAGAAGGACTCGAGATATAAGGAGGATATGCTTTAACAAAATAGTCAACATTCACTTTGACTGAAGACATGTGATCTCAAAAATAACTTGCAATAGCAGCAAACAAAGATATTCAGATCCATAGAATAAATACTAGTTCGAATTAGGACATACAAATTGTTTTGATGGACAAGCTGACTTTTCAAGGGCTTAAACATTCTTATGATATGTATAATAACTTATAGGAATCCATTAAGCTTTTTATATTTTCTAATTTTAAGTCTTTGTCAGTTTTGACAACATTTAAAATTTAACCGAAAAATCCCAATCAATCCACTGTTCTGACAATCGAAAACATCCCACGATGTTTGTTCTTATAAATTTGCGAAAAAAAATAAAACCCGTCAATGATTGCTTTTCATATGTGCGGTTATAGTGACTACTTATCACACACCAACAACAACTACAACAACAAAAACAGAAAGACAATCAACGGCGCAAAAATGTATCCTTTCTGTTTATTGTCAGCACTCATAAGAGAGTAATGGTATTTCCTTTTTGCAAAAAGGACGAACAAAAAATCAGAAAATCCAAACATAAATAAATGGAATGACAAATGTAGTGGGAGTTAGTGGCGTTTTTATACACACATAAATACATACATACAACGGGGAGTATGTATAAAACAAATATAAACAATAAAAATTTGCAAATATTTATTATGTTTTATATTTTTTAGCGATGCAACCACCATCGCCTCCACCATCAGGCGGTGTCGGAAGAAGCATAGGCAAAGCCCCGACGACCATGTAACATAATCAACAACACATTGCAAAGGCTACCATATGATTTACAAATATTTTAACATCCTATACGTGGTGATTTTTCGCTTATCTTTGGGCCGTATGGATCAACGTCATCATCATCATCGTAAATTCTACTATTTTGATATTCATGACGGGTATAGCCGCACATGGATTTTGTTGCTGTTGTTGTTGTTTGGGCTTTAGTGGTTGGTCGTTGGGGGCCATATGTAAATATAACATTGTATAAACCACCAAAGTTAAGAGATGAAAAACGAAAAAAAAACAGCAACAAAATCCCCATAACACTTATTTACTTTTTCTGTGTGTTCTCCCTCCTTTATATTTGTTTGTTTTTTAATTCATTATAGCCGGAATAAAAAATATATATATAACAAAATGCGTAAAATTTGTATATTTTTAATAAAATAAAAAAATAAGTAACACAGACTGGAATGGCAAATGATGGATTAAAGCAATGGTACTCACCAGCAAATACCGATGTAGAGTTGTGTTTCGGATCGTATGGACACACAGCCTGGCCATTTTTAGTTGCCTCCAGGGTATAATTGTTCTCGTTGATTATATAAGTGTGACACAGGGGACGAAATGAATTTGTACCGCATACAAATAAACGTCCTGGCGAAGTCACGACCATGATGCGTATATAATTTTGGCACGCCTCCTGCAATGGACAAAAAAATAGAAAAGAACAAATTAAAAAAATGTATATCCCATACACCACCATCACCATCATCGTTATCGTCAGGACATCATAGTTTAAAATGTGTCAACAATTTATTTCCTCCACAACACAGAGTAACGAAATGTGTATTCAACTCTGTTACCTTTTTAAATTGAAAACGGAACTTGAACATGGAATTGCAAATGTACAAATTTATATATTGTGCCTGACATATGATTATAATGTCCGGTACTAATTGCCTGGGTATTTTATATGCATTTTTCATAGATGTTGATTTTAATTATTGACACGTGTCAATAACTTTCATAAAGACTAATGAATGTAATAGTATTTGGACTGGATTTATTATAAGTCGTCCTAATGAATTTGCAAGTAGAAAATTGGTTAAAATTCCAAGAGAGATTTTGTGGATGTCTTTTGAAGATATAAATTGTCATTATTTCTTTTCTATGGACGTTTAATTGATGTGTTGGAAAAAAATTCTCACAGAGAAATGGCGGCCTGGCCCGCGGAAATTTTATATCCTCCATGATGTGGTTCACATTCAACATACATATCTTTAAAAAGTCGGGACCTTTATATGGAGGTAGATAGATTCAGTAATGTCGATCGGTATACTATAAGGAGGGTATTGGACCAATACTTTATGTTATTACAAACTCTCGGATTTATATAAAAATAGTTTACAAACCTTAAAAAGTAACTAAAAAAGAATCATAAAATTAGAATGTCACTAACAGAATTTCAAGATCATTATTGTATATAAAATCAGGAACAGTTTCGGGATTTTTAAAATAAAACTAATAATAAACTAAATATTCGATCGGAGCTTTAACACACACACGTAAAAAGGAAAAATAGACTCACATTTAACGAATATTCACACTGAATCGAGTATCCTTGAAATAGTAGTTAATCATTATTTTCTAGATTCACCTTCTAACCTCCATTTCAGTCTATTTTTCAGCGCATCTTTACTCAATAATGGACAATAGAACTGTAGACATGACAATTTCAAACAAAAACAACCATAAAAAAAAAAAAACAAAAATAGTCGAACTTAAAATGAACCACATTCAAAAGAAACAATAGAGTCAACGGATTCCACCTTAAATCCACTTAAAATAAGCTTTACTAACAAGGCAAAACAACCTCCAACATTGAGTATGTATGAAACAACAACAAAAGCAAAAAAAACGGAAAAATATTGTTCTAGAATTCCTGTCAGAAAAGGGACGATTGTTGGGTAGCTCCGTGTATAGTAGATAAACAAGAGGATCAAAGGTAAAGAACGAATATTTCCGCCCCAATGTTTTGTTTTGCACAGATAGTGTGTGAGAGAGAGAGAGAGAGAGAGAAAACGAACTCAAAGGTAACATGAAACGATTGTTGTTGCTGTTATTGCAATACATATGCATTTTACATGAATATATCAGAACACATACTACTACGCTGAATGACCTTACAACTGGGACTACTAACTGAATACGAGGAATTAAACTATGCAGCTGTTATGGCCAAAGGATTTAATAGAATATATTAGATTAAGCGGAGGTAATATTTCATGATAGTTTTATACTCCCCACAATAAGGTTGAGTGTATATTAAATTTGTCGTTCCGTTTGCTACACCGAGAAATATTCAGCGGAAATTCAATAAAGTATATATGACCATAAAAAAATGAGATATTCGAAATTTTTTGTACTTTTTTAAACCGAATTGGCTCTAAATTTGTATCATGTGTTTTCATTATGTATTACTTTTTAATATTAAAGCACTCTTTAAAATTGCCTGTAATTTGGTATTTCGAATTTAAATAGGTTAGCAAATCTTCCCACAAAAAATTTATCAACATTGGGTCACTTTTTACGAAATTCTCCATATAACGGTATCAGCTATTATTGGGTATTTTGAGGATTATGGGCCCGTTTATTAGGCCAATTGTCTGTAATTTCGTTCTCATCGTGTGTTCAATCTTCCTACCAAAAAGTTATCATGGCACAGCCTATGCAATATATAATGATACCGAACAACTATAGACATTTTATAGGGTGGAGGGCCGAACTTACTTTTCTTCGTTTTTTTGTATGTTTTTTTTTTGTTAACAGGTAAAAGGAGAATATGCATAGAATCACTTTTTAAGTAAATTTATGCATGTCCGTCCGTCCGCCTATCCGTTTGTCAATGTTAAATTGTAAACAAAGTACAGGTCGCATTTATTGTCCGAATTGGATGAAATTTGGCACAGCTCATCTATTTGGCCCAAGGACGAACCCTATGGAAATTGGGAAAAATCGGTTCAGATTGAGATATAGCTCCCACATATATTTTCGTCCGATTTAAGGTAAATGGCGCACTAAAGTACATATATATCATTCGATTTGTACGAAATTTGGCATATAGTACTGAATTAAGTCTAAGTTTATTGAAAATCGGTTCAGATATAGCTCCCATATATATTTTCGTTCGATTTTATGTAAATAGTGGTCCAAAGTCCCTATATATCCTTCTATTTGCATGAAATTTGGTATGGCGTACTGAATTAAGTCTAAAGTGATGTGTGCTAAGTTTCGTGGAAATCGGTTCAGATTTAGATATAGCTCCCATATATATTTTCGTCCGATTTTATGTAAATAGTGCACCAAAGTCTCTATATATCCATCGATTTGCACGAAATTTGGGATAGAGTACTGAATTACGTCCAGAGTGATGTGTGCGAAGTTTCGTGGAAATCGGTTCAGATTCAGATATAGCTCTCATATATATTTTCATCCGATTTTATGTAAATAGTGCACCAAAGTCCCTATATATATTTCGATTTGCCCGAAATTTGGCATAGCGTACTAAATTTAGTTTCGGGAACATCGGTTCAGATTTCTATATAGCTCCTATATATATTTTCGTCCGAGTTCATGTAAAAACTGTACCAAGTCCCTATATATCCTAGGATTTCCACGAAATTTGGCATAGCATTCTGAATGAAGTGTAGAGTGATGATTGTTAAGTTTCGGGAAAATCGCTTCAAACTCCTAATGTTTGTCCGATTAACACGAAATTTTGCACAACGTATCAAAATGAGACTTGTATGACTCTAAATAAGCCCGAATGAAATTAAATTTATCATAGGTTGCAGAAGGGCATGAATATGTTCCTTCGAGGGAACGTTGACATGCAATTGTAAGGATACATATGTACAACACACCCCAAGTGGTGAAGGGTATCATATAGTCGGCCCAGTCCGACTTTACTACTTTCCCTACTGGTTTGAAATGCCAGCATTTTATTATTTTACGGGTTTACTAATAATTTGTATATTTCCTTATATCAATATTTTCATAATATTTGTAAATTCAACAGGAGTTAAATTTTTCTAAACATAGAAGATGAGTAGATCAAAAAATGTTCCCAAATGAAAATGTTGTCAGCTCCAAACAGTGCAGGGATTTGGGAAGTGTATTTTTATTTCCTATTAAATATGAACACCAAATTAATGAACGTTAAATTATAACACCTACGAATTATGTTGGAGAAATTTGAATCTTTATCGGCTCGTTCGATTAGAATATATGGCAGAAATGAGTCGCTTTTTTTGAAAGTGGTTTAAGACAATTTTAGATTCTGATACAAATCCAGAGTTTCTAGAAAATTTTACAGAACATATTACTTATATATTCTATCATGTTAAAGGGCACAAATCCACGAACAAAATTGGTACCAATAAACAATATTTTTGAAACATATTCAACCCAAACCTTTTAATATCTTAGAACGGCTATGTGAGTACCAGTGTATGTGTCGAAAAAATAGGTCAACCTAGTACGGGAGAGGGGAACACATTTAAACAGCACCCACAAAATCTCGGTTCAAAAAATTGTCCGACCCGTAACCATTCTTTTGTATATCGCAACCTTGTTTTTCAGCCGAGTCAACAACTTTGGTTAGCTTTTTCAGTTGAGAAGATGAGTAGATGTAGAAGAGTGGACGTGTCTTCGCAGTACTACTGTAAAATTTTAAATTTTTTTGTTGTAAGGGCGCAGAATGAATTTATAGATCGTTTTCTTTCGTCAAATTTTGCAAGGGTTTTATTTTTCACATCACATCTTCCAGCAGCATGAATTGAAACCTAAGTACTGGATTTCTTTCTTGAATTTTTTACTAATATCATATTTATGAGTAATTTTTTGAATATATATTTGTGAAAATTATTATAAATTCAAAGCTCAGTTTTGAAAATATACAATACTACGATGTAAAATCAAGTCTCGAAGCAACTGAGTAAAATAATCCAATTTGATCATACAATCCTTATTACAATATATGAAGTAAACTGATATTCGGCATGCCAACACAGTGCTGTACAGATAACACAGTTTACCAATACCAATGCAAACTTTGATGCATACCATTGTATTCCAATACACACACTCACACTCCCATATGTATGTGGAAACAGTTGCAAACTAACAAAACACATAAAAACGATATGGCCGACATTTTTTGACCCTTTTTCCCGGAAATACTTGCACAGCTTAACATGATAGTTATAAAAAAAATATATACCCCACGCGTACACACAACTTCAATCTAGAAAAAAAGAAATGCACACATAACAAACGGATTCGAAACAGAACACAGAACAACTACATGAAAATCCACGGTGAAAATATATAAAATATTTCATATGAAATGCAATGCATTCGAGAGCAGCAGAACTCAAAATGAAAACAGAAACAGTTTCGCTCTGTTTTTTACAAACGAACTAAAACTTAATGAATGACTGAATCTGAATACTAAAATATCCTCTTGTTTGAAACAGAACAGCAGCAGCAACAAACACACACTCTCTCACACACACACACACTCGTCTCTATAGGGAAAAGAAAACAATAAAACTAAACAAACAATTTGATGTGCCAGATAAAAAAATAACAACTACACGTTTGCGAAGAGGCGAAACGTTACGTGAAACTTTTTTCGCT